TTCCTTTGGACACTGACGCTGGTGATCCAGGTACTCCAGTTTCACCATAAAGGAACATTTTGGGTCTTCTTTCTTTCAGACCTTGATAAAACAACATGAATCAGCTGCTTTAAGTGATGATCTTTAGTCAAGTATTTTAGAAATTTATCCGTAGACTCTCTGCTAGCATTGCAATTCTACTAGATCTGTACTGTAGATTTGCTCCCTGGACTTTTCCTCTGTTCCAGGTATTACTCAACCCACTGAGTGCTGTCACTGACACCATTTATGCTCATAAAAAACACATCCTGCTGTAAATGTGTAGCCTTTGGTCTGGCCAAGAAATTCTGTAACCTCAGCAGAATGTATTAAGAGATGAAGGTGAGGTTTTGTACGGCACATGCTTGTATGAAATGTATCTGTCACCTACAAAGCCGCTGAAGTGCTACTATTCCTAGCTACAGACATCCAAAGACAAAATAAAACAGTGTTGGGAGACATTTTGAGTCCCAAACCCATTTCTCTGACTCTTTCTTCCTTGTAAAATGAAAACATTGATGCACATTTGATGCACAAAGTGTGGAACAATCTGTAAGTTGGATTGAACTTAATATGCTGATGAAGATTCCCAGTCATCCAGGTCATAGTCATTCCGTAAAAGTTTAAGAAACAATCCACTGGACTTGGTTTCCAAGATTTGAAGACATTTCGCTACCGCTCTTGGAGCCTTCAAATCTTGGAAACCAAGTCCAGTGGATTGTTTTTTTTTAAAACTTTTACGCATCTGACTTAATGCTGAGCGCAATGTTTGGAGAAAACCAAAAGGAGGTTCATCCTACCTCACAGAAAACTCTAAGCACAGTGGTGGAGGGCTGATCATTTGCTGATTATTTTTGCAGTATCATGGGTTGTTAACATTGTAATGTAAATACTCTGCTGTACTCCTCTTAACCAAAGTCAAGGACGTTTGATCTTTTATTTCTGCATTTTGTTTCAGTAAACTGATTCCCTGCTTTTTCTGGTTGTTATCTTTAATAAAATGGTATTTTGCAAATATAAAAGCACCCTGTACTGGCTTCCATTTAGAATGAGAAAACCCTTTCAACCATTCTAGAACTGCAGAGGGTTTCATTGTGCTAAAGGTGCAGGAAAAAGTGATTAACATGACTTTACCTCCCTGGCTTTCATATGTAAACATATTTTTAAGCAAAGCATTAATTTAAAATGATTAAGCGTAGGCTTTATAGCTGTAGAAAGCCAAAAAAATTAATTAATTTAGTTCTTTTGTATGTGGAGTTCCGGCCACTCAGCTC